AGAAATTTAACGCTAGGAATGTTTTCATGAGCTTGAGAGGAAAAACTAGTTTTTGCCAATGTTTTTCCCTAGATATTAGATTAGTCCATGCTGCCTCCATATTATTCCTCAAATCTATAGACTTAGCTGCTTCCCGGAACAGAATCTGTTGTCCCAGCTGAATCCAACATTCAGTTTGTCATGCAGAGCCCACTTAAAAGGGCTCATTGAGGTGTTCTGATGGATAATACTCTTTCACAGGGTTGTGAGTCGTGTAATACAGTCTAGTCATTGTAAGCAGTCTTTTTGTTTGTTTGTTTTGGTTTTTTTTGTTTGTTTGTTTGTTTTTTGTCAGTGTGACCATAACTTGCATACATCCTGATAAATATTAAGAATGGTTCATGTTCGAACAAGTCATGTCAGACCCCTGAAAAGATGTGTAATTGCATATTCTTTCTGAAGCTAAGCCCATAGGGAACGAGATTGTGGGAGCAACAAACTGCATGAAAACATGCATTTTAGTTCTGGAAGGAGGATGCTTTTCCCTAAGGACAGATGATTCAATTCAAGAGTGCAAAGATTTTATTTCTTCTAGCCCCTTCCAAATTAAATTAATACATTTAAATTCAGATAAGATCAGATTGTTAATAGACTCAAACAGCTGCTTTCTCTAGAGTGGAACCACTATCAGTGAAAAATGAATGGAAGTTTCATGCATAGAGTGAAAGATTTTGTTTCGTAAAAAGGAATAGAGCAATGAAAAATGGCTCTAAATATTGCAATTATTCTACATAACCCATGTTTATAAAAATGTTGGGGATCTAAAATACAGTCAGTAATATGAGGCTTCTCTCTCTAGCTAGAATAAACTGAGCAATGTAGAGCCTCTTCTGTATCTATTACAGTGGTTTAACTTCACTGACTGCAGCAATTACTCCTGATTGACATCTAAGTGAATTAGAAACGTGTGCTGCACATCTTAGCTGCACATGAATTACTGTGTTGTACTGAGCAACAAACTTGGAAGGCCTTCTTTTTGCATCCCATGGACCTTTTTGTTGTCTACTGAATGGCTTTAGGCCACAGCCTGAACTTCTAAAATCCTATATGTGCTGTCGTATCAGTTGTTCTAGCATATAATCAGCTCTATTTCATATCTGAGACATCTCATCTTATTTTGCAAAGAAGTGTATAAGTAGATAGATCGTGGCCATATTTTTTTTAAGCTTGTTTGACTTTCTGGATGTGTTCAGCCCCTGTAAATATCTGAAAATGGTCATCATGGACTGACAGTCATAAGTCCACATCTGGTGGTGTGTTGTGATCTAGTCAGCTGAGACACATAAAGCTTTTTTGCTCTGGAATTGAATTGTCCACAGTTGGACAACTGCATACGCATAAGCTGTGTGTTCCTGTGTCTATGCAGAAAAGACAGTGTCCAGGACAGGGACATGGCAATCCTACAAGTGGGGGCCATGATGCTACTTTGGATTCCAACACCAGCGGGTCTGAAAGAGGAGCCCCAGTGAGGGACTGTGACAAGAGAGATGGAGCAAGAGTTGGCATCTGTCCTACCACAGGTGCAGCACCAGGTGGTGCCAGGCTCCTCTGCCATCCCCACCAGTGCCTGCACCGCTCCTCACAGGAGGGCTGTCAAGGATGGGGGAAACACTGTGTGGATGTTAGAGTTTCAGCACTCCTCTGAGGAAATCTGGGCCTTGCTGCTATGGATCTCTAAGGTTCAATCTTCCATTGTTTCATATACCGAGGTTCTGCTCAGCTGTTAGATTCCTTGACCAAAATCTGAGTTTCACTTGTACATGAAATATCTTCTATATTTCTTTTCTTGGTGAAGTGAAAGATGTGTTATTGCCATTTTCATACAGAATCACAGGGATTCAAGAGAAGGGGCCTCAAGAGATCATTGAATCCAACCCCCTGCTAAAGCAGGAGTAGCAATAGGTACCTACAATAGGTAGCACCAATGGGTGTCCAGATATATCTTGAATATCTCCATAGAAGGAGACTCCACAACCTCTCTGGGCAGCTGTGCCAGTGCTCCATCACCCTTACCATAAAGAAGTTCTTCTGCATGTCAGTAATTGATAGTTCATAGATTGTTTGGGTCTTTAGGATATCTAAAACCTTTGTTGTAAGGAAAACAAACGTATTACACCATCCAGTGAGATCACTTAAAATTAGCAAAAAAGGATTGGGAGAAATATGTGCAAACAATAAAATAAAACATAGCCTATAGATTTTTTTTTCCTGTTTTTAAAAACATAAATTAGCCAAAAACATTTTGTAAGTATTGTGAATTTGAGACAAAAAGTTGTTATCTTTTTAAATAGAGAATTGGAAAAAAGAAGTTTGAATTGCCTTCTGGTTTTTTTTTGTTAATTAAACATTTTGGTATTCATTCTAAAATATAGTTTACTTTTAAAAGCTAATCACATTTTTAAAGGATTGAGTCAAACAGCAATTAAATAGATCAAGCTGATGCTTTTGTTCTATCACAAAACTGAACATGTTTCCAGTATAAAGAAAGTAATTTTTTAAATTGTTGATAAAAATCCCTGAACGTTTTCCATGTACTGTCAGCTGAATTAAGTTTCCCCTCTTTGTTTTTGCATTTCCAATGATAAAACTGAAAATCAGCAGTTTGCTGAGCTGTGCAGAGCAGGGCAAGGCACGTGTTGCTTTTTTCTACAGCTGTAGCTGGTGAAAATGCATGGATTAAACCAGGATCCTTTTCTCTAATTTTACATCCCCCTCAGCCACGGGCAATCTCTGTTGGTTTCTATGCAGGATGATTGTTTGGATTAGGAAAGCAGGAGCATACACAGCAGGAGCAATGGTGGAAGAAAGCCTCTGACAATGAAAATATTGGCAGTGTTCTGGACCATTTTCAGACCTTGTTTCACAATGTGTCTGTGGAGCCATTATTTGCAAAGAGGGTTTTGTATTTTATTCCTAGAGGTGTCAATAGAATCAGTGGTGCTACTTGGGGAGAAACTAAGATATTTTAAAAGTGACATTAATACATATTTTAAGATGATTATTTGTTAAAGGGGGGCTAAATGTTGAAAGTGGCATGCTGAGTGGTCTTGTTCTAATGGAGTTCTTACTTCTGGGAGAATCATTCAAGGTATTTACTTCTTTAAGATTTTGCTATAGGGAATTCAATCCAGAGAAAAGTGCTAACCAGCTTTGGCTTCCAAATCAAGTACAGTCTGTGTGATGTAATCTCCAAAGATCTTTGTCTGAAAAACAGGCCCAAACACACTGCAATACCCAAACTGAAATACATTCAAAGCTGACAGTTACTGCTAGATTACAGCCACAGGCTTGTCACATTGAACATGAAATCTGACCTAACCAAACTCAAAATTCATACCAAGTTCTCCTAATACTGCCTGATGATTTTCTGCCTGGCAACGGATTTTATTACAAGGGGATTTCTTGAAGTATGTGAAGCAGTTCTAAGCCATCTCAATAATAGTAATTATTTCAGTGTTTCCTGGTTGCTAGATAGAACCCAGACTCTTGGAACTGCACAAAAAAAATTTAGTAATTTTCTGTCAGCTCAGCATGAAAATGTTTTGGATCTCTCACAGAAAGGAGCTTTGTGTAAAATATGTTTAAGATTCAATGAAACACTTTGTTCAGCCCAAAACAAAATATTTTATGAGGAGGAGTTTTTATTCTTGCTAAATGAATGTGAGTCAGTCCTATTTAGAAAACCTTGTTTCAAAAGATGACAGAATAACTTTCCTTCCTTTCCCAAATGGGAAGGGAAAGGTAGGTGATGTGTGTGAAATTTCAGTAAATTTAAATTCATTTGTAAATAGTTTAAAACAAACAGTGTGTAGTTTATTTACTTTTTTTTTTTTTTTTTTTTTTTTTTTTTTTTTTTTTTTTTTTTTTTTTTTAACTCACAGTTTTTCCTGAATTGTTTCAGCCAGTTCTGTTTGGAGTCAATACTAGTTATAAGCATTTACCATTTTGCCTACTGCAGACAAGCCCCGTGGAGGGTGGGTCTGATAAACCTGAGTTATCAGTGGTGTATATGTGGCAGATGTGCTGAAGGATGTGCTGCTAATTACATGACTAATGTTGTTTTCCTGAGGTTTGGGTTGAAATGAATGTGTAGGTCTGAAAGGTTTGTGGCATGAGAGAAGTGAGTTCCCCCAGAGCTTCCTCACACCTGTCTCACAGGCTTTCCTACAGAGGCTGATAGGGGAATAGGCATATAAAAAATGAAGGACAACTTCAATCTTTGCTGTTTTTGTTTTGCTTACAATGGACAAGAACTCATGCTAAAAATCTGGCCACGAGAAGCTCTCTATGTCAAGATCAGTAATAAAAAAAAAACAGATTATATTTCTCTGTTGTTATTTAATCAGATAGCTACTTGTTAGCAGTTTGATTTAGCACAGCATCTCCCTTGTGGCAGAACTGCAGAAGCTGTGGATCTGCCTTCCTTTCAAGTTGAGGGGGCTCCTGAAATTAATTTTGATGAAACAGGTGCACACTGATGGGGACTGAGGACACACAGTTGTGAAAAACACCTCTTGGGGAGAGGATGGCTGGAGCCAGCTGAGCAGGAACTGGCTCAGAGCTGTTGAACAAGTTTGCACCAAAGCCACACAGTGTAGAAGCATCCTTGCTCTCAGATCCTCACCAAGGACTTTTAGTGTCCGCATCCCCCCCCATTGCACTGAGACAAGCTGTGCTTTCCAGCTGGTCTAAAGCAGGACACATTCAGCTTTGTTTTCTAATTTTGCTAACTGTGTCTTAACAAATTCACTTGAGTCTAAAAATAATGCTAGTACTAGGAAGAACCAAATAAAATATTCTCAAAGGTTTATACTAAACAACATTTCTACTACTTTTTCAAATGATTCATTAAGCACAGTTTCTGTATCTTTTAAAGTATCCTAGAGGTCCCTGAGTTTGACAAGAGAAGACTGAAAACCAATTCTACCTAAATCTATTTTTGTCTTTCTCTAATAGCTTATGGATCTTTTTGTTACCATAAACAGTCTTTGAAGGGAAGATGTGGGATTTTAATGGCTTTTTGAATTCACGTGGGTGTCATTTGCTTTGACGTACACCAAATACAGAACAAGAGTATGGCTGGAGGAAACAATCAATGAGTTTTAAGGTGAGTGGTAAGCACTGTGTTTAGGAATACACCTAGCTGGGGAATATTGCACCCTGAAGACAGCAGTAGCATTGAGTTACCACTCTTTTGTGTCTAAGGAGAAGTCTCTTTATTGCATTTTAGTGGGCATAGTAAAAATGTGTTTTGCTTTTACAAGTAAGATATTTTTGCCCATTGGTGACAAGTTACTTATTACCACAATCTTAAAAGGAGTGACTGGGGACAATGATTGAACTCAAATCTAACGCAGAGACAGATTTTCAAAAGCTTTTTGACACAAAAGAAGCCTTTTCTGAAGTTATCTGGCTAAGGGAGGGACAGAAAAGATGTAGCAAAATGTTTTAGTGTTGCAATATTAGAGATAAAGCAGAGTTGTAACACACGTGGGAGAATCTCTGAGGCAAAATCATATTAGGAATAATTCTCAAAGAATAATTTGTAAGAAGATAATTACATTAAGGCTTCTCATTTAAACTGTTGTCTGGTCATGAGGGAATTCATCTCTCTTCTGCAGCCTGTCCCATAGTAGGACAGCACCAGTGTCTACAGCCCTACCCAGCCCAGCTGTACCCAGCAGCACCACTGCACCATAGAGCAGGATAGTGGTGCTGAGGGATGCACGGGGCACAGCCCAGAGGTGAGCACCATACGTCCCACCAGCTTTCCTACCAGTAATGCTACATCCTCTTCTTTCAGCTTAGGTCTGTCCATGTGTGTTCACACTCCTGCACACGATGTGCCTGTTACTTAAACCTTAGATTGTTGTTTCATTTTTATCACAGCTGTGGATCAGGACTTTGAAGGCTATGCAAAAAAGCAGCGCAAAGCCAGCCAGTGCTTACAGTCTACAGAGAGCTAGATGTTTCAGCTCCCTGACACAGAAGGTGAAACTGTGGGAAAAGCACTATCTTGCTAAAGTTACTATTTTTGTTGAAACATATCCTCCCCTATTAAGTTTCTGAGTATCAGGAACATCCAGACCCTATGGATGACAGCCTCAGTACTTTCAAAGTAACCTGCAGCAGTTCTGTCATTTTCAGGGGGTTGAAAGCAACTGGATCAGGGAATGTGTGTCCCTGGTAGGGCAAACAGAACAAATGGGAGTGAGAGGCAGATTACAGGTTTTAACTGAATGTGCAGAGCCAGGCCAAGATTTAAAGGTGCATGCGAGTAGCCACAGAGAAAGAAACTGTTGTAGACACAAACAAAAAATTTTCACGTCATTGTTGTGATTACTTTCTAAACACACAAATGTAGCAAATGGAGAAACCTATGCAGACTAATACACAGAAGTGAAAAATGCCAGTTTGGGTCAAATCACTAAGCTGAAGGGAGGATTTGTTACCTGTGCTAGGGAAGAAATGTGACTTATTGCTTGAGGATAAAAATCAAGAAGTGTTTTCTACATGATCCTTCTGGTTGTAATGGGAATACTGGGAAAAGCAACATCTGTACTTAGTCTGGGGCTTCCTACTGTGGCACTCTGGTTCCTTTTGACTAGCAAAATATTTGAATACTTAATTTTCATAAACCATTACTAAAATAATAAAAGATCACTGATTCTTTTAAATAGAAAAGTAGGGTTTTTTGATCTATTTTGTGCAGTTGGCTCAGCTGTTACTGTATCCAGAGAAGGATGGAAAAATGTTGTTAACTGTGAGAATTAACTAACTGAATTTGGGTTGTGATTTATGACTTCTGACATGGCCCTAAACAAAGCTGACATGGCATACAACCAAGCTGAACTGATTGATCCATTAGTAACCCAGAACTCTTGACCCAGAGAAGGGTTGATTACATGAGGATGAGACTGAGAGGTGGCCAGCAATTACAATAGCAGCTGACTCCCTTTCAGAGGATCCTGAGGTGAACATTGTCATCTTTTCTGGATGCCTTTGTCATGCATGTAGTGCTCAGTATGTCCTCCTCCTATTCAGCCATTATAGATGCTGTGAGGTCCCTGCTGTATCTTGTATTCTCGCTAGGCTCTGCACTGCCTGCTTGAATTGCAGTCTCTGAAATGATTACTGCTCTGTGCTTGCAGCTGAAGCTGAGAATTCAGTACTGCCAGGAAAAAAACAGTTCTGCATTACATTTCCATATTTCTTTTGCCATCCCTTGTAAGCACCCTATTCACGGTTTGATCTTGCCACAATGCAGGTGGATCAGGGAGAAGCAAGGAGTGAAGAGCAGCCTCACGCTGAGCCTTTAGACCCTTAAAGGAGAGAAGTGTCCTGTTTTCTGTGTTCTGTGGCAGCCGTGCTGGTGCTCAGCTCAGGGCAGGCAGGCTATCTTTCCACACACCTGCTGGCTCTGTGCATGTGGGGCGCTGCTCGCTGGAGCACTGCAGGAGGGCCACAGGGCAAGGCAGGCATGATGTGGCCTGTTCTCCTGTGGTATGACACGAATTCATCGCACAGGCCCAAACCTGCTTGTCCTTGACATCCAACTTCCGACTGAAGACAGCAGGAGAGACATGAGAAAAAAAAATATGAAGGAATAAGCATTGTCTGCCGAGTTCAGGAGAAGAATAGTGTGGTGCCAAGGGGAGTCCCCCAGCTCAGGGCTGGCTGCTCCCTGAGGTTTTCTAATTGAGGCATTAGCAGAAGCTGAAGCTTCAGAGAAGCAGTGTCTGGGAGATGAACAGGTTTGCATTTAGCTGCAGCTGTGGTACTTTACATCTCAACAGCTCTGGAGAAGCCGTGACAAGGCTCCCGCAGATTAACTGCTCTGCTGCAGGTGTCTGCTGCCACTGACCTGCACACAGCATCGATCCCGGGTGCCAGCTGCTGTATGGAAATGCAGATTTGTGAGACAGCTCAGTGCTGGATGGAGTCAGATGAACTAGTGCTGCAGTCTGCAAATTAATGGGGAATTGGGTAGCATTTGTTAAAGGCTGTAAAACAGAAACCAGAGTGATTTCCCTGTACAGAACATTCCCAACCCTTTTCTAGGCAGGCCTTTAGGACTGCGATTTCACCACTTCTTTCTTCCCTCTCTACTTTCCCCTCCTGTTGGCAGCCAGCAGCCCCTGAGCCCTGCACTGAGATCAGGGGGAAGGAGGAGATGGGCTGTGGCCCACATAGTAACACTGCACCACAGCCCTGCTCCTGATTATTAGCACTGTTCTTTAATGCCTTGAGACTGAGCTCAAGAAATAAGAAATTGCGAGAAAGAGGGAAGAATCCTGTTTGTTGTGCTTCTACCCTCAATAAGAATGTGGTGTGGAGAAAACAATTGTGCTGTGGTGTGTGGTTTCCTGAGCCACATCCAGCATCCAGCTCATCACACATAGAGTACAGTACTCCCTGTACTCTGGATTGCACACAGGAGGGGAAAATGATCTGAGGGAGCAGAGATGATAGAAGTGCAGAAAATCATGCAGGACGTTGGTGTAGCTAGTGATGCTGTGTTAAATAAATGAGGTGTGTTGAGCCTGGAAGTGCTCTGCACTTATCTGCTCTTCTCACAATGCAGCTTATTATGGTTGTTGATGTTCTTTTTGTTTCTAGGCTGTTTAGGAGCCTTGCTTGTGGCCTGGCACTTATCTGTGTATGCTACAAAACCAGAACGAAGACAGTTCCCAACACAAAGTTCACCCAAAACTGAGACACGAGCAGCCAGTTTCAGGCACAGTCCCATGGCCTCTGTGGCAGTGCTTTTCATTGCTGAGGACAGACATCAAGCTCCCCTTGGGATCTGTGAAGGAGCATAATTTGATACAGGTGCCCAAGTGAGCGGCAGCAGCATGCTTGGCTGAAAGCTATCCACGTTACAGCCAGCGGCAGGCATCTGGAATCGGCGGGCAAATGATTTCACCTTGTGTGGACATTTCATTTTGCATCAGCCACGGTGCTCTGTTTTTCCATAATGAAAACTAATTTGCTCAAATGTTTTTGCACATTTTTCTTCTGCTAGAATGATCACCTCGTGCGTGCCAGCCGCAGGAGAGCCTGCACCTCTTAGTATGCAGCAGCTGGGGCTGCTTGCAGCATCGGGTGCCAGATGGGCTCCTGCACTGCCAACCGCTGTGCTGCCGCGACAGGCAACAGATCCAGGGGAGAGAGAGTCTCCTCTTTTTCAAGGTATACGTGGGCTAGATTATTCTTATGGCAGAATGCAAATAGAAGAAACTTGAAAATGGTTCTTCCAGCTGTTCTCATTCAGTCTGGGATACAGAATTGCCTCCATGTGTTCTGTATTTAAACTCTGGGATGAGTTAAACATGATCAAACTAACTGAGAAGGTGCAGCTACCTCACCATACCCTTCACAAACATATTCAAGAGGGGAACACAAACTATGTCTTACTTAAAATAACAGTAAAACCTTGTAATAATACAGATTAATCTGATTTTTATTTTTTATTTTTTCATGAATGTGTCCACTTGGCAAAGGTGCAGATTCTGGACTTGGTGTTGTAGAATGCATTTTAAATTAAGATTTAGTTTTTTGCCTGAAGCCTTTCCTCCATCCACCCAATAGTAATCCTCTCCCAAAAAAGGTGGCTTGTTAAGCAGAGTGATCACTCCTCAGTGCATGATGATAGGCAAGGGATATAATATTGGCTGTATCCTTGTTCATGCAGCTGGCCTAAGCTGGTCTAAGCTAAAAGCTCAACCTGCTTATTATTTTGGGGGCAATTCATTCTTTTTCCCAGAGAAAAAATAATTTATGATCTAACTGGTCTGAGCGCTAAATCCAAGATACAAAAATCCAGACACAGATTCCTATTAAAGAGTTAGTATCCATCCTAATTGGCTGATGGGGTGTTTTGAAACTCCATTAATCACCTTGCTGGCAGTGAGCAAATCAGAAGCTCAGTGTTCTGCCACTGACTTTCCATTGCATCGAGTGAGTTAAATAGAAAGCATGCATTACTGGCATCAGCGATTTCAAAAGTGGGTGTTTCTGTGGATGTAAATGGTGCTTAATAATGTTCCACCTTTGACTGAAACTAGGGCACGCCCTGCCATGAGGTTCTCATCATCTAATTAAACTTACTCAATCTGAACCTGGTGGTATCATGCAACACGGGCTGGGTCTCCCTGCAGATTAACTCTTCAGCTTGTGTGGCAGAAAGACCATACTCCAGGAAAACAGTGGTGGCTGGCAAGGCCACCCTCCTGAGCTCCGTGGGCCACCACGTAACCACCCACGGCTGCCACCCTCAGATCCTCACCCTTCCGTTTTCAACCACAAGTAATTATTTTGAAGAAATGCAAGGTGGTCACTTGCAGGAGCTCAGTGTTTCTCTGTACAAATAACAGTTCCTGAGGACTGTTTCTAGGTGCTGGGGCCGAGCTGTGTTGCTCACACAGCTTTCTCAGTCCCCAAAGCAGGTGAATCGCTTCTGGCTCGTGCTCTCCTTGGCTTGCTGGCAGTGTACTGGCACTGGTCAGAGCCATGACAACCACTGCCTGCCCTAACTCTGCTTTATTTCATGGTCTGGACACATCACAGAATGTGGCTGTGCTTTCCACTGGCCTCATTACCCACACAGCCCGGCTGCAGAGGTGCCTTGTGCACTCTGCTCCAAGCTGCATCCCATTTGTTTCCATCTTCCTCCTCACTTCCACATTCACAGCTGTCCTGCAGAGCCCTGCTCTCCCTCTGCCCTGCCACCAAGATCTCCTGTGTCTGGGCCTTTGGTGCCCAAGGGTGCTGCTGGGCACATATGAAATAAGGCAGAGGCATACGACAAGCTTTGCCCTCTCTCCTATTCTCTAAGGATGGAAAGATTTGGGGAAACAGGTGCATGGCTGGAAAGCTGTCCCTCTTGGATGCTTGCAGATTTAGCCACACAATCACCATAATAATGCTTTGTAATTACATCTTGCATCTTTCAACTGTACATTTCAGCTGAAGTTATGAATGTTTAATTAAACAGACCTCACAAATTGCTTTGGGGGCAGGTCGGCACTCAGATCATATCAGCTTTCATGAGGTGTTTGGAGAGCTGCAGGGACACAATCATAGGAAAATCCTACCCTGTGGAGTGGTGCAGGAGCCATGTGTCCAACTGAAGTCAAGGCAGATTGATCCATGCTCATCCCACCTGCTCTGTGGAGCCTGAAATTATGCAGCTGTGATCCCAGTGCATACACAATGTGCACAGAGACAGGTCTTCCCACTGTCAAGGGGCACTGAAGCCAGCTTGACTGCACAGTTCTGCAAAACCAATGCATCCAAGTGAGGCTGCTCCTGTTCTCTTGTCTCTATTGGAAGATCCTGGCTTGAGGCTTGCCATCGTGGCAGCTTCTCCAGAACTTTTCTGTTTCTGGTGCTCTTTCCATTGTGGTAGGGGCACACTCTGCTTCCTTCATGAAGTATTTCTGCTGGCACCCAGCATGCACTTAATGCGATTTGGCTTGTCAGGATTCCTAAATGCATCACAGGCTGCAGCAGCATACAGGGAATTTACCCAGTGCTGTGTCTCTGAGGCTCCTTGAAGTGTGTTGGCCAAGTGTAATGCTGAAGGTGCCTCTCCTGCAGGATTAAGTTCTCTCTTAAGAACTTTGGCCTTTCTTTCCTTCTGTCATGCAATTATTTGTAGCATATTTCAAGCCCTTATGGCAAAGGACTGTCACTGCTGTCAGTTCTGTGTCTTTTTCATTTTTAAATAAAAGTGAAAAAAGAGTTCTTGGCTGTCCTCATTCCCACTGGCCAGGAAGGCACCACTCCCTCTCTGAAGGAAGTCCCAGTGCTTGGCATGCACTGCTCGTCACAGGCACAGAGGGGGCATATGACAGCAGATTGATATCAGGCCTCATTTGTATCTTCTGGAGAGAGAAACATCCTTTGTTGGGATTTTTTGTGGGGGTTTATTTTCCCTGTAAGTTCACGTGCATTACAAGAATTGAGAGTTCACATCAAATATTTGTTCATGCTTTTAATTTGAAAGAACTAATGAGTCCACTTTGCCATCTGTGCTGTAGCACGCAGCAAGCAAAGAAGCTGATTACATGGATCACCAGGGTGTGAAGGACTCACAGGAGATGGCAGAGCTTTCTGGGCACCCTTTCTGGGTGCCCACAGAACTTCGCCGCTGTGCGCTACAGGTGTGCCTGGGCCTGCATTTAACTCAGGAGGCTCCTGCACCCATTTCAGCAGCAGCCCAGCTGCAGCAGAAAGGCACCAGACCAAAGGAGGCACTTTTATTGCCAGCTGATGAAAGCTCAGCTCCGGTGTGTCTTGACCCATAGCCATGAGCTGCCAACCGTGATGCCTGGAGAAACGTGCTGCAGAGAAATGAGGAACTTGCAGAGAATAACTATATTTACACAGGTAAATGCACAGTGAAATGGGTGTAGAGCAATGCAGAAGAAATTGTGGCATGCAGAAATTATAGGCAGAAATGCCAAAGAAGACATTAACTGTACGATTATGTGGATAATAAACAAGAGACAAATCTTTATTTTCAAGACTGAAGATTTGCGATAAGGAATATGCATAGGTCAGCAGCCTGTTAGGAAAGGAATCCTATCTAAGAAAACTAAGAGACTGAGCTTTAGGGGAGGTCTCATGGCATCAGTGGGTGGGAATTTCTACATGGATGGCATTGCTACAGGACCAGTATGAGCCCCAATAATCGTCCTTCCCATCTCACCATTGATACAAAATTATTTTAGTCTGTCTGGGAAGTTGAGCAATTTTAATTCCAAAAAATCTACAACTACAAAGGAAATCAGTCTTAGTATTGATACTAAAACATTTTGAATGATATGGAGTTATATTATCCTGTTTGAGGCAACATGTTTATCCACTAGCAATTTGTGATAGGGCGGTCTTGCTGGCAAAAATAACAGGGCTTAATTCTTTACCCTATCATCTCCAATGTGTTTTGGTTACCTTATCTCCTACAGCATAACTAAAACTAAAGGGGAAAAATATTGTCAATGTGCTTGTTCCAGTTTTGCTAAACTACAGTTTGTATTGACATAAAACTTCTACAGCCATCTTTAGTAAACAATTATCTCAACAGGCTTAATTCGCCTTCAGTATATTTAGTACAAAATACTAAATACAGAAGTCTACAGCAATGGTTAAGATTAAATCATGTTTGTATGCAGCAGAAGAAAACATTTCCTTGCCAAAGTCAAAACCACGGGAGAAAAGACATCAGAGCTGGACTCCAGAGAGCCAGAGTATCTCACTGAGCAGCCCACAAGTGGCTGCGCTCCATGCTGGGACATAGCAATCTGCAGCAGCTGTGCAGCTTTCCCGAGCAGCAGGAGGCCTTGCTGAGGCTGGCTGGCAGGCTGCCTGCAGCACGTGCCCAGGTGCATTGCTCTGGTAGGCAGGTTTTGTGCACAGAGTCTCCTGGGCTCCCAGGGCCTCCTGCAGTGCCCAAGTCCCGATTTTTACTGCTGCAATGACAGCTTTGAGATCGACTACCATGCCCAGTGCTTTGCTCTTTTTAAATCTACCTTTGTACATGCATTGACACAGTAACAGTCAAGCCCAAGAAATACAGTAGGAAGTGTTTGTGATGGCATTTTGCTTTCTGTTGTAACAATGTGTTAAAATGGTATTTCAGAGTTTTGCCCTTAGATCAGAACCAAGATCACGCTGGACATGGGCTGGCCTTTTAGTCATGAGGGTTGTTCCTTTCTCTTTCAATATAAGCATGCACATGTGATGAATTAAAATAAACCCTATCCAACATGTGTTGTGCTTGGTGTCTTTTCAGATAATCCTTTGCAAGAGCATTTATGTCTCGTGTGTTAGCTGGTAATGCAGGGCAGTGAGTGTATCTTCTGGCCTGAATGGTTCACGCTGAGGATCCAATGGACATCCTGTGTCCATCTGGTGTCCCTCAGAATAAATAACTGGGCTCCAAGTTTCATTCAGCCAATTCATGGAGCTTGCCTAGACCTGTGTTTAGTGAGC